AAGAGTGTTGCAGATTAAATGAGAGATGAGCAAGTGCTGTTTTCCTTCTAGATTTGATTGCATGTATAGTTTCCACTTTGTAGTTCTTGTTTCCTTAGGAAAGGAAAATACCATTTTGCAAAAACCTGGGAAAAAGTATCTTAATTCAACATCTGAAGTATAAACCCCTCAAGATTAGATGTTATTTAGCACTGCCCTAGAGGACAAACCTCTCTACTCCATGTGTTGACTAGAATCGGATCACCAGTTTATGTGTTGCTGCTGGTGCATTAAAGCAGGATGTATCTTCTGTCCCAAAGGGTTTGAACCAGGCTACTAAACTTTAAATTAGGCATTAATGCAGTGTAGCATGTTATAGTTGAATGTTGATGTTGGAGACTTTGTTTACACTGCCAACTGTGTCAGTAAATCATCCCTTTCCTCCCTCCCACCCCCAGCACTTAATTTTATTCTTTAAGGGATTTGTCACTTGGGATTTCAACCCAACTCCTCCTCCTTTAGGAAGGAGAAAATACCCCTCTCTTTAGTTTTCTTAAATGATTATGGGATCATAGTAGGAATTAACTGTCTGAAAACTCCTTGACTGTACCTCATTTAATGGGGAGTTCATCTCTCAAATGCTTGTGTGCATTAGTCTTAAATCAAGTTTAAGACTGGACAGACATTTTTCTAAAAGCATAACTCTGTGCAGGGCAAATGCTTGAAAGTGGTGTGTGGGAGTTACTGAGCTGTTAACAGGAAGAAGGAAATAACCCTGCTTATGGGGCTGAGCGTTGGCAGGACCTTGGCTTCTGCCTGACAGTGCTTGTATACTTACTGAACTCTTATTCAGAGCCCTACATGTGTCTACGTGTCCCCAGGTGCAGGGTTGCCTTTTGCCCTTGCTTTTAACACTTTCTGAAGCTGCAGTGAATAGAAGAGTTCCCAATTTACTGGGGGAAAATAAGGTCCTGGTCTCTGCTCTCTGCCATTGCTGCCCTGGCAGCCTGCATTTTATCTGTCGCCACCATAAGGTTCTTGAGAAGTTCAGGGCTCATCCTGAGTGAGCTGAAGGGCAGGAGAGCAGGGACTGAAGGTGGCCCCTGGGTTGTGGCTGGGACAAGGGAGAGACAAAAGCTTGCCCTGTAACTGTAATGTTGGAAGTGATCAAGTGTAAATGTTTTGAATGTGCGTGCTGTCCCAGCAAACTCAAATGGCTTTGGTGCCTGCTGTTTGAACATAAATACAGTATTCTGTGAAATAGCTAATTAAAGGGAAGGACTCTGATTTAACATCAGTGTACCTAGGTGGTGTTTGTATTCAGAGAGAATGTGTGAGAGTACATGGACATGTGTCTGAACGATCTGAAATCTAACTGGCTTGTGTAATGGCTTGTCAGGTTACAGCAATGAGGATCCAAGCCCATACAATCTCATGGAGCACTCTGAATAAACATAAAGGCTAGGACTTGGAGTCACTACAGTGTTTTGCATTCCTTGTGCTATCTTGGGCATGCCTCCCCATGCTGCCTTTACCTTTCTTTTGCAAGATATTCTTAGAGGAGTACTGCACATAGTGGTGACAGTAAACCTATTTCTTCCAGTATCAGTCTCAGTCTTGCAGGATTTGTTCACTTACCTTTCAGTTTGTAGATTGTTTTGTATTGATGGTTTCATAATTGGAAGGAGGACAGCTGAAGTTGGCAAGATTTCCATCAGTACCTCTCATCCTAGTTGCAATAAAGAAGCTGCTTTTCCATCAGCTTGAATGCTCTTCTTCTGAGTGCCCACGATACAGAGATGGTTCCAGATGAAAGCAACTTGCAGTGATATTCAAATATGGGTATCTTCTGCTCAGCCCCAATGCGGTTGGAAGTGAAATAGTCTCAAACCATGCCTGTCTCATTTGTAGAGGTTACAGTAAGGAAGCCCTAAAAGCCCTAAAATGTATTGTAGGCCCTAAAGGAAGCTTCTTTCTTTGGGAAAACACCGTGTTCCCTTCACTGTCAAATTCAAAATAGCTCTTCAAGCTCCGAGTTGGCTGTAACATTGCACAAAATATTCCTGTGTCATATACCAGTACTAACAAATGCTGCTGAAGTAAGTTACTGCTAGCAGTTGTGGCACAGTCTGTTAGCTAAAAGAGTATGCTGTAGGAAATCTATACATCTCACCAAGATGTGCTTCTTTATTTTTCTTTTGCTGAAAAGCGAGATGTTTTGATCAAAAGCCATTTCCTGGAGCTGGAGATCTCATGCAGTAGAGATGAACCCCAAGTGAACTTTCTGTAAAATGCCACATGGAAGTGAAAAGTTGTGGTGATGTGGGACCTCTGCGGATGAGGCTGGGGTATCTCACCTGTGTTGGTGTCTTATTAAGAGTAAATAACCATTGCACAACTTAAAGTTCAATTAGACTGAAAAAAAAACCCCAAACAACAAAACCCACCTGCTTAGAGAAGTTCCATACTGCTGTTGCAGTCATTGGTAAACCAACATGTCAAAAAGTAAAGTAGCCAATTACCTTTTTAATTAGGTATTGAACTTTATTCCGTAGAGATTTATACATGTTGCCTTATAGAAGAGAACATTGCATTAAAAATAGCTCTATTCTGATATACAAATTACATATTTTCTGTAAAGCAAGTCATAAAATGAGAGAACACCGTATATAAGATTTTGATTTCACTGGGGAACTGTTCCTAGTAATAAAGAGCATATAAAGGTCACCCTACCACCGGTTTTATTTGGTTTGAAAAATACAAAATAGTTTGTCCATATGGTCTTACGTTACCTAATTGCTTCATCTAAAAAGAATGTAGGGTTGTGTATCTTAACTCCATGATTTGTGTAACATTTTAAGAAGGGACTCTTTTTGTGGGATTTGGATTTTACCAGCTTAATTTTAGCGGATACTGGTTACATCCTAGTTTACAAAAATAGCTTATTTTTTTGAGTTTTTAATAAAAAATCTGACATGCAGGATAGCTAGTGTTAACTTGTTCAATGTTTGAGGATTAAAATATGCAAAGAAAGCAGGATTTTTTTTTTCTAATTGTGCTGCCAGAAGGCTGAGATTTTTTTGTCACTGGAATTTAATTGCATTAAATTAACAAAGCTTTTTTTCCCCTTTTTTCAGGCAGATTCCAGATTAAAAGCTCTTAATGCAACATTCAGAGTGAAAAACCCCGACAAGTAAGATTCCACATCCTTCTTCCCTCCCTTTCCCTTTTCCAGTTACAACTGTAACTTCAGATGGCAGAATACTCTATCTCCTTAGTGTAAATTCAGAGAAGAAAAATTATCTTTCTGCACTTCAGATCTTAACAGAAGCCCAGTAAGCAGGTAGTATGGAAAGGTTTGATAAATCCTGTTTCTAGAATTAAGGAAATGCCATTGCTTTATGCAAAGTAAGTCATTCATTTTAGCTAGATTAAAAGAAAGGGACAAAAAACCCCAACAACCCAGGCACAGAGAAAAGAGCCTCTTAATATTTGTTTGCAAAGAGATCTTTCCAAGCGTGAACAGAATACAGATTGATAGTAGGTCTTTCCAAAAATCTGCTAGTGTACAATTCTGGATGCACGCACACTGGTGTTACAGTTCATAGTTTTCTTCAAGCTGCCAATTTTCACAGATGCTTTTGGAAGTCCAGAGGTCAGTTCAGCTGTGACTGAGTTGCAGTTTAGGAAGCTCTGGGACAGGCACTAGAGCAATCTGCTGGATGAAAAAACTGGTCAGAATTGTCAGGATATGTTGTGGGAGGGTGATCACACCCTGGGTGATGTGGGAAGCATAAACCAAGAATTTCTACTTGTGCAATAGTTAGAAGGTACGCAGCAGTGGGGTCAAGAGATGTTGCTCTTTGCATCTTCTTTGCATCTCTAAGCAGTGGAGACCTGTACAAAGTGCTCTGCTGGGTTCATCTGCTGTCCAGCAGTGGCAATAGGAGATGCATGTGCCTGACTGCTTCTGTTGTCTGTTCCCTTTGTAGTTCCCTAGCATCTGTGGGTATTGTATGAAGGATGTTAGAGGGTACATGCCTTTCTGAACCTCTTTATAGACTTATCTGTGAGTTGGTCCAGTCTTTCCATTTTATTACACTTGTTTTTACAGCCTTCCATGGCAGCAAGGAAGCTTTTAGCTAGTGTTTAATGTAAAAGACAACATTTACATATGAGATCAAAATACAGTGATTCTCTCAGTATCTGCAGGTGAAATTAGACCCTATTTTGAATGTTTCATCCTCAGACGTTTTCATCTGTGGATAGTAGGAGTTAGCTTTTCCTGTTTTCATGGCAGGGAAACTTCGCTAGTAGTCTGACTATAGGCATAAGGGGGCAAGACTGGTTAAGGCTGAGATGAGGAATATACTGTTATATTTTGAAGTAACTTAATGTTTCAGGAAAGGAAAGCTATTGTGAGAAGTGGCTTGGTAAAAAGCAGGAAAAGAGTCAATACAAGGAAAACATGAGAAAGGGCTTGTAACAGAAACAGTCCCAGTGTCTGTCTCAGCAGAGACCTCTGACAGCACTGAAGAGATAGGGCGCATGCTTTCTATTGTATTGTGCCAGCTGCATAGCTTCCAAATTGAACTTTTGGGTGCAAGCTGTTTAATAAATAGCTGAGAGCATAACTTGTGTGGGTTTTCTTGTTTTGTTTTAATTCAGGGAGAGCTTTTTAGTATAGAGTGTGCAGCTGTAACGGGAGGGATAGTGCCTTGCTCTGCCTAGTACACTGGTGCTTGAGCTGCCTGGAATCTGACACCTTGCCCTCCTGTGTTACCCTTGGTGCTTGTGTGACTGGGTGCTAAAGTGGGTTCATCAAGCTCACCTTTCTGAAATGAGATCTGACTGCTTTGTGGAGTGTAGGCTTTCAGGATCCTGGACCAAGAAGGGTTCAGGTGAAGAACAGCTGCACCTCCCGGTCTGGATTGCCTCGCAGTGCTGTGGAACTGCACCCTGCAGCCGAGAGCAGCGTGAGGAGCTTAAACAGCTGAAACAATGCTGCTCTATGAGGTCAAATTTAGACTGGAAACTAAACTTCTTCCTGTGGGGAGCACTTAATATCTTCAATAGTGAAATTTTATGGTGATAAAAATACAGTATTGTCATATTCAGAGATAAATCTGTATCTACTGTGGAACTCTGATTTGGCTTCATGGCACCCATCATCTTGTTCTCTTTTATGTGCTTTAATCAAAACAATAGGTTTCTTCTTGGTGAAAGATGTGTTTAGAGAACACTAAATCCTTTCCTCAGGGAGATTATTATTTTTTCTTTAAGTAGCTCTTCTTTTTTTCTGTCTGGTTACTCAGATAAGTGACTTGTTCTTTAGTGAACTGTTCTGTTCTTATAATGTCTTCCTTCACAAACAGGAAAATGGCACTGCCCTCCCTGATGTAAGGAGGAGTACTTACTGTTGAGCAAAATGCACGAAGTAACTTATATTGAAATGCTGTCTACTCTAAATGAAGTTATCTTCTTTGCCATTACCATGGAAGATATTTTTGAGGAGAAACCTGGTGGTGTGCCTACAGAAATGTGACCTGATCTTTTCTTCATTTGTGTCTTAAGTTCTACTTAATAGCTCAGTTAAATGTCTTGGCTGTTGGTAATGTTGCAGAACCAGTAAAACCAAATGAAAAGTGCTGGTTAAAAAAGCCTTGGTTACTTAGTGTCAAAACTGTGTCTTTTTTCACACTTCTGCTGTTATGCACTGGAAAGTAAATGTCCCTTTGTGTGCGGCACCAATCTCAGTTTGGAAATTACTTTATAATTATGCATTTTTTCTTAATTATTTTTTTTTTTTTTACGAAGAACGCTAGCAAGTAGGACTTAAGCAACTACTTGAGAGTTAAACCTTTGATCTGCCACACCACCAGTGTCTTAAATATAGCTTTTCCAGAAAAATTATATTTGTGAAACTTTCAACCTTCACAGAAGATTGGGCAAAAATAGCATTGCTTTTACTGGTTTATGCTTTTCTGAGACAATAAAAAGAAGACAGCTTGGTTCTGCAGTAGTAATTTTTTTGTTACTATTATTTTATCTTTTAATGGAGGAGGAATTGGCATGGCAGAAGATGTATTGCTGCCAGACTCCAGGACACTGAAAGTCCTCTTAGGTTCCTGACTCAGGCCTTCAGGGAGTACAGCATTCCTAAAAGCTTTCTTGCCACAAAACAGGATAAATAAAACTTTTCATTATAAATTTCTGGAGTGGAAAAGGGAGTCTTCCGGAGCTGAAGGCATGCTTTTTAATCTTTTGTTTTCAGTTCAATTATTTCAAATATCTTCACTGTACATGTCTGCAGCTGTCTGACACGCAGCCCTGGTGCATATTTTATAAAGTGTAAACTGAAAAGATTGCTCTCTAAACCCCACTGTGCAGATCAATGACTACATTTATTTTTCCCGTACAGTTTCTCTGCTGCCTTTTAAATCTTTTTATGTACTTTAACCCTGTGTGTGTCATAATCTTATAAAAATGCTTCCTTGAGAGCAAAAATATTAGAAATGGCAATAAAGCTTTTGCTTCCTGAATTTAAGGACAAGAATATTGTAGGGGAAGTCTTACTTACAGAGGAAGAAGAGATGCTAAATGAAAAACCCTGGAATTTCATACTTGGTCATCCAAAACAAGTGACCTGACTTATTTCAGTAAGACCTCTTGGGTACAAGCTATTCTGAAATAAGAAGTCTGACTGTGTGCCTGTGGTGGGAGGAGGGGTGCAGCTTTTGGGGCTGAAATATCAACCTGGAAGGCTAATCTTAGTCTCTCATTCCTTGATTCTGGTTGTGTTCTTCTGTGTTTGTTCATTTTCAGATCACTGTTTAGTAATTTAGGTAAAGCTGTTCTTGGCCTTCCCATTTGGATGAAACGCATTCTTGGGTACCAAAGTAGGTCATGAGTTGGACTTGTGTGTAGTAGGAAGGGTTTACATATACAGAAGTGGCTGTTGCTGTGGATTAATTGGATACCAGTCACAAGAAAAGCTGTGGCAACTGATTAATCTTTGCCATCAGCATAAGAAACTACCACCAAGGCCTAACTGAGGTGACTCTTTCCTTCAGCAGTGGCAGACCAGCAGTGTGTATATGATCACTTGCAGTGGGTTATGTGACTGGTATTAAGATTGTAGTGATTCGATAGCTTTTAGCCATCTGTGACTCCTGTGCAGGTACAAATCTCAATAGGGTTTCATATATAACCAGTTACAATTACCATATGGATTAGCCTTAGAGGAGTTGTGGTAATTGTGAACTTGGACTCCTGAAAAGCTATACTTATAACTGGCTAGATGGCAGCTTGAAATTAAAGTATCTTTGTCAGGTCAGAAATGTGAACAAGTTTTTATTAAGTATGCTTCACCAGATTTTGGCTTTATACTTACTTGAAACTTTCCTATTCACTAATGCTTGCTTTTATAAGTTCTGTTTTTTAAAAAAACCCAACAACACAACAAAGAAGCACCCCAGTGATATAGATGTAGTAATTTCAGTTAGCTGCTTTTTATTTTTATTTCATAAAATTTTATCTCTTGAGTTGATGTGAACATTCAATGATTGCATATAAAGAAAATAGCAGTCATGCAAGTGTTGGGTGGTTCACTTTAGGGAAATTAAACTCTGCAGTCACTTCTTTTAGGAGTCTTCAGCTAATTCCACTTCAACATAATCCAGGCTCTGTCTTCGCTGGCTGTAGCATTGTGGCTCTATCTTGCATTCTGGGAAAGCTTGCTTTCATGATGGCTAATGATGTACTATCTGTTTCCTGCTCCCAGGAGATTTACTGAGCTAAAACACTATAGCGATGAACTGCAGTCTGTCATATCACACCTTCTGCGAGTCAGAGCTGTAAGTATTTCCCATGTGTGTCGTGACAAATAGTGTAATTTATTTATAAGGCTGTATATCTTGTTTAGTCAAGAGAACTGGAATATTTGTTCTAGAGTAAGGGCAGCTTTCCCTGAGAGAGTCTGGCTCTGGAGTGTGGGGCAGGAGGTGGCAAAGGGGGGGTGCTGGCTTTGTACGGATTTGAGGGAGAGGAGTTCCAAATATGATGGTTGAGTTTGACAGTCATTGGAGGAGTAAACACATCCATGTTGCTAATCTGCCCTTCCTGTGATGGCCATGTATGAGGTGGAGGTGTTTTAAAGAAGATTGAGATGTCTGCTTCTCTCTATTCAGAAGACAAGTTGCTTTTGCTGGATGTCTGGGCTGGGAAGGGCCCCAAAACATGGTTTTCTGGGCAGACATATAATACTTCGTTTTCCAGAGCTTGTAGTATGAATCCTATATGCTTCACAGAACATTCTTTTCTTTTTTTGGCTTGTTCTTCAATGTGTAATGAATAACGTTCTTTCTAATGATGAGAACAATTATGTCATGCATCAAGATTCTCTGTGGGTTAAGAATGGAAGCTGCTTTTTTTTTTTTTTTTTTCTCAAGTCACAAGAAGGAAATAGGAAATTGCAATTCCAATAATGAGCATAATACTGCTTTTTAGTATCTTCAACAGGGATTTAATTTTTGATGGAAACTATGTGGCAGAAAGGGTGGTGATGGATTGCCTTGTTGAGCTGAGGTCCTTGAGAGGATTAATCACTGGTGTTAGTGACAGTGCCTTTTCTTTCTCAGGCTGTGTGCATGAGATCTGTTGGGCAATTTGCTTATGTTTTCTTTTTACTGCTTTGACAGACCAATTCAGTAACTCTTGCAGAACTTCAATCTCATTCATTGGTACATCACAGTTACACAGGCATTATCGAGACTACAGGTCATGCTTCAGGGTGTACATGTGGTCTTTTCTACTGAGGTTGTTGCCAACAGTTTAATGCTGGCTGCAGGAGGTACTGACTCTCCCAACAGCTGAAATGACATATCTAGCTTGAGCAGCAAGTTCTGCAATGGATAGCTCATTTCCCTCCCTTCGTTTCACTGATCTGGGTGGAAAAATCAAGTCACTTAGAATTTTACTGAAGATTTCCCTATAATTTTTTTTTTTTTTTTTTTTTTTTTTAAAAGGTGCCTTACATGGTTATCAAAAACTGAAGGTAATTTATTTGTGGTCTCCGTAGGCATATCCTATAAATAAGTGCTTCCAAAGCAGAACTTGAAAGGCTACTTTTCCATATAGCCTTGATTGTGACTTCAGTCTTCAAAGACTTTGTGCTGTTGATTTTCCTTTTTTTTTTTTTTTTTTTTTTCCTTCAGTAGTGGATTGGATTAGATTAGATTTAGGCCTAATCTTGTTTACCTGTGTAAAACATTAAGGCTTCAGCTTGAATTTTATATATGGATTTTCACAAAGTAACTGCGCTTAATGTAGATGACCAAAATCTGACCCTAAAATGTTTCAGAGGGTAGCAGACCGGCTATATGGTGTCTATAAAGTCCATGGCAACTATGGAAGAGTATTCAGGTAAGAGTTTATCCAGTTTTTAAATACATACATAGACAGATGTAGAGAGATAGAAGGGAATTTGTTGGTTATGTTATTATGCTTTTAAAAAGTATATGCAAAACATTTCGGTGTCTACCTTGGAAAATTTAATATTGCAATACTAATGAAATTTCTGTGTTGGATATAGTGCTCTCTGGATTGCCTGAGCTTAGTCTCTAGAGGAAGACTTCAGCTTTTTGTTTTGTATTCCAGACCTCTGGGGCTTTTGCTGTTGGGTTGGCATTCTTTGTCTTCAAAAAGTATCTTAGTACCCATTTTCATGCAGTTGTCTCTGAAAAGCTTCTAGATCCTTTTCGTGGTTAAAAATCAACAGCTGTATCTATCGAGTTTTAGTACTTTTTTAAAGCAAATTTGCCAACCATTTCTTTGATTTATATGAGTGAATTGCATGCTCAAGTTTTCCATCTCACTAGAGAATTAAAGAATCTAAACTTCTGGTTAAGGGAAACCTCCTGCTTCTACACACTGTTCAAGTGCTAAATTTAATTCTCTGGGTTAATGGATTGCAGATGTCTTTCTCATTGGGGGTTTTAAAATGAAATTAGGTGTAGTTCTGTAATAACACAAAGACAAACAAATGTCAACATCAGCCGAGTGGAATGTTTATGAAAAACTGAAGGACAGAATAGATGCATTAGACATAAATTATGTGAAATACAAGGGGACCCCCTCCTTTTTTCTTGTAAAGAGAGTTGCGGGTGTAATTCTTGTAACTAAGAAATCTCATAAGGCTTCACAGAGCTGAAAACACAATTAAAATTGCAGCGTACATACTTGGACGTCCAGAACCAGTCTTTTGCTATCTTTATTGTAGCTCTCTTTCCTTCTATATCTAAATGATCTTCCTAACGTGAATAGGTAGTTGCAGTAATGAGGTGGTTTGTAAGTTGTTTTTGGTTTGGGTTTTTTTTAATTAATAGAACTAAACAGGAGTCTACTGGGAAAACAGAAAACGACATACAGCAAACGGTTTCAGGAGCAGTAAAACACTTGCAAATGTCAAATCCCACCTAATGTTTTCTGGGATGAGAGGCTTCCATCTGATGTGTTACAAGTCCAGAAGGCTTAGTTTCTTCTCGATGAGTATGTTAGACCAAATTCTGGTTTGGAAAGTTCTGCCCTTCCCCTTTTTAGGTGCAAGGCAGTGGTGTTTGGGGGTGGTGGTGGGGTGGTTTTGGGGGGATTTTTTGTTTTGTTGGTTTTAATTGAGTTTTATCTATTTAAATGAGACTTTTCTGCTCAAAACTAATCCCAAACTTAAGTATGCTTTCAAGGATGAGTTTAGGTGTCAGGGACAGTTGTTTAGCAGAGTGTCGTAAATAGACTTGCCACATAGTCAGTGTTCCTCCTTAGAGGAAGAAAATAGTTTGGCCAAGTTTAGCTTTGAGGCAGTTTCCATTCAGGTGTCACCTGGAAAGAAACTATATACAGGATGCAGCTTATTAACTTCCCTTACCCTTCATGTGTGATGTTGTTTCTCGTTTGTTTTTCCTACAGTGAGTGGAGTGCAATAGAAAAGGAGATGGGGGATGGGTTGCAGAGTGCTGGCCACCACATGGATGTGTAAGTACTGACTGAATATCTGATAGTTTGATGTAAGCCAGATGTGGAACTCTCCCTCTTTCCTCTCTTTTCCCTCAACCCCGAAGTACATACAAGTAGAGTACAGAGAAAGTTGAGGGTGTGTTGTTTTTAGGTATACAGTGTTTCTGTGATTTGGATGCAGGCACAACTTTAGCATCCACGTACAGTATTAAGTAGCTCAAAAGGTCTCGGGAGAACCAGAGGGGTTTCTTTTTTTATTATTATTTTGAAATTGTAGAAGTGTTTGGAATCCTTCCAGTTTTTCTTTTAAGCTACTATGCCAGAAACTGATGGAATACAACTTTAATGTACTGCAGCCCTGAAGAGATCCGTTTGGTTTTGATAGGAGCATTTTGTACCATGCAGTAGATGGTACACAGATTTGGACTTAATTACAGAGAGTTAAGAAATTAATCAGCATCAAAACTCCAATGGATTCTTGAAACAAATAGTGACTGGAAGCAATGAAGTAGAGAATCCTCCCTCTTTGCATCTTTAGAGTCAGTTGGCAGAGTATTCAAAGCACAACCTTCAAAATAAGAGTCTAGCACTTCAGAGTGCTTGCAGAAGTTGTATTCTAGGCTACTGCTCTCTGCTTTTCAGGTAGTCATATATAGTAAGTGAAACAGTATAATTTCTCATCACTCTGATTCCTCTTCTATAACTGCGCAGTACAGATAAGTAACAACTTCAGCAAGAGATGGAAGCTGCTTGACACTTCATACAGTATTTTTACTGATAAAGTATAATTTGTGTGGAACTCAAGTTACCAGTTTTAGTTTGCAGTGCAGATTTATGTATATACTACTGCCTGATTTTTATTGGTGTTATGTCTTGGTAGGTGAAAGGGTTTGAAGTGCTGTGCCAAACTGCCCGCAGGTTCTTCAGAAGAATTTGGGTTTTATCAGATCTTTAAGAATTTGAACCCCTCTGAATAATTTATTCACACTTCTGTATTTTGGCTAACATCATGGTTTGCAAACAAAAAAGCTGCAGTATTTTTTTTAGGCAGAGGGCCCTGGTTAGAAGAAATGGAGAATGCATTCTGCTTTCAGAAGCAAGTAATGGAAGTAGAGATGGAATACATTGTTAAGCACCTACTGCAATATGCAGAAATTGAAGAGAATATGAAAACATGGTATAGTACGGAGGAGTTAAGGAGGCACAAATAGGTTTTCAGTGGTTTGGATACACCGCACTAAGATGTCAAACATCTAGAAATGCATAACCAACTAAAAGAAGTGGGTCACACTTCTCAGTCAGGAGGCTGAACTCTCTCCACACATCCGAGATATATAATATTCCTGCCTGTAACAAGTTAGGGTTAAAGATCCAGGGTAATGGCAGTGAATTTCTGGGTAACTTTAATCACTGCATGAAGTCTAAGGTAGCTTTCATTGTTATCTCTTCTGCTTGTGCACTCTTGTACAACAGTAATCTCTTGGTGACAAACAAGAAGTAGCAGCTGTGAGATTGAGGAACTCATTCAGTGACCCATGTGGTCTCCTACAAGTAAGGTTCATATCTATGATCTCTTGAAAGTATAACTTACCAGTCCAGTTACCATTCCCATAACATTAGACAGGATTGTACTGCAACAGAAAGCTACTTCAAGAAGTTTGCCTAATATAGACGTTAAACTTCAAGACTAATTTAATTATCCTCTATCTGCCCCATATGTTGTAGTCTTTACTAGATGTTTGTTTAAACTTTTCAGTTGTTATTGTTTAGTATGATCTAAAACTGCTTAATATTTGGAGAAGACATCCCAAAGCTTCTCTGGGTGTGTGCTATATGTAACAGGATGAAGTTTGCTGAAGTGATAGAAAACAATGGAGTATGCTGGGAAAGCTTGAATGAATTGTTGTGATTCTGGCATTTAAAAGATGAAAGGAAAAAATGCTGGACCTTTGACTTCTGTCCTTTATTCTACTAATGAGAGACCCTTTATCTCTGCATCAAATAGACTGTCATTGCAGGTGGAACCAGTCTAAACTCATCCCGGGGTTTAGCTGATGATTCCCATGAAGGATGGGAACATGTTAGGTACCTTTAGAACTGCAGTGTCTCTTCGTAAGATTTTCTCTGGTTTGCCTACCTGTTTAGGACAAACCAGTATTTAAGCTTCAACTTAGGCAGTCAAAAATACAGCTTGTCTTACTACTTTTTTGGGGGTTTGGTTTTTATTTGGTTGGTTGGTTTTCTTCTTTTGTTTTTGAAATCAAACTTCAGTGTGACTATGAAAACTCTGTCTGGGTAAGGTGGGTTCTGGTTTGCTGGTGTTTTTTATTTGATTTTTTGCAGAGGAGCTTTGCCGCAGATGAGCTCTAGCACTGCTTTAAACTTGGAACTTACTTGTAAATGAAGTGTGGTCCATCTGCTGCCCTGAAAAATCTAACCACTGTACTAAAACTATTGCACTTCAGAACTTTTAAAAATAGAGAGGGTAAGCCACTTATGACCTGTGTAGCTGTAGGATTTTTTCAGAACAAGTATATTTTTCAGCAGTTGGGCGTCTTCCTTAGTTTGATTCATAATGTGAATTCTTGTTGTGCCTGTACTTTTTCCCTTCTACTTAAACTGATCTGCAGTTACTGGTCATTTCATGTTATGCTTACTTATCACCAATAGCCTTGGTAGGGCTTTTCCTGCTTGTGCCATCTCTTTGATTTTGCAGAGAATCAAAACAGCTCATCTTCCTTGCAAACTTATAAAATTAATGCACAGGTGTGCGTGTTTTCAGCTCTTTTTCAGTCTTCCCATTTTAAGTTATTCTGCAAGTAGCTCTTTGAAGAGCCTTGCTGCCCATGCTCTATTGAGCATGCCTGAGGATGACAACTTCCAGCAGGAGTGTTTCCTTCAGATACCTCCTTTAGATTCCCAAGGGTCTAAGTGACTTTGTTGTTCCTTTTAGAGCTTGCAGGATTTCTTGTCTCCCAAGTCACATTACCAGTTCCGTACAGCTTGAGACTGTCACTTCTTCCATAGAGCCAGTTACTGGAGAGGCACTGAAAGAAAGGGAAGAACCTCAAAAGATTTTGCAAAAACTTTAAAGCCAAGGGGTGCTGTAATTGACATTTGGGTCCTCTTGCGCTGGTCACTAGACAAGTATGGGCATATGATCACTCCAGGGAGCCTGCAGCTGTGTAGGGGTTTGCCACATACTTGAGAATCCAGACTGAATTAGCAGAATAAATGAAGGCATTTGTGATGAGATTGTATTCATTCTGTTTATCTCCAGTGACACATGTCCTGTATTGCAGGCTAAAACAGACTTTCAAGGAGCTGAAGGATGTTATGTTGTAGTGTTCAGAGCACCACTGTGAGTTGTCTCATACTCAGGCTGAAAAACGAACAATGAAAGCAGCCTCTTTGCTTTTCAGAAGGCGTGATGTTCAAGTTCCTATGCCTTAATGCTTTAAGCCTTGTAGGATTTCTTCTGCACCACGTCTTTTTTGCCTTGGTGCTGACTATTGACAGTCCACTGAAGAAAAGGAATAAATTGGTTTTCTTCCCTCTAAGAAAAACTGCGTCAT